CCTCAGTGGACAGTGTGCATTCTGATCATGAAATATGTTGGCTTGGCTTACTGACGTCCAAATGGAGGGGCTCAAATGCAATAAAGTCTTCAACAGCTGTGCTTAATAGCAAAAATAAATAAATAACAATTTTGAGTACCTGTCCACTGTAGTGACCATTATGCATAAAAGGGTTAAAGGACACAGTTAGTGAAAATAAACAAAAACAAACAGAAGAGATGCTCTCTTAAACATTTTAGCATTTTGATGCTTGATTTATTGAACAATAGGACATCAAACTAAAGGAAAACTCAGGATGTGATGTAAAAAGTGCTTTAGGAACGGTTCGTTTTTAGTTTGGTTTAATAAAAAATTCAGCATTAAGAAAATCCAAGAACCTTTAAATCTTATAAAAGATCTGAGTGATCTGAGATAACTTGCAAAATAAGAAAATTGAAATAAAAATATTATTGCTACTAAACATTTGTTTAGTTTGTCATTGTGCACAACACAAACCCTTTTGATGCACTTAAAGAAAACTGAAGAGAAAAGCAAAAAATAGTGAATCAGATGTTTGAAATTACCAAATAACTTTTTGACTTTTGTTTGAAACTTCAGCAAGTTACAAAGTCTGGAAGTAAAAACCACTAATCAGATTAAAACGAGCCCTCTGTCTCATCTTTAGGCTGACATGAGTGTCCTTCTCACCCTTAAGAGCATCAGTGGGTTAACTGTTTTTAAAAAACTCATGACGGTTAAATCTGGAGGGTGGAGAGTTGACTCGAAGCAGAGAGAAGGAGGGAAAAAGAGGCCGAGAGGAGGTGGAGGAATAAAGGAAAAGCTGGGGGCTTATGCAGTGAAAAGAGCACATTATGGGTGACCTGCTGCGACAGTAGACTGGGAGAACGGCACATTACTGCCTTCACTTAGGCCAGTGTCCTGGTGGTGGACAGCTAAAGGCTTCAGGTGGACACACACACTTAAAAACACAACAACATATAAAAAAAATTAAAACCTTTGCAAAGCATGTGTTCCTGCACAAATTGATAGCAGACACACTCACTAACATTTCTCCGCACTGGGCGGATTAGGAACACTTTCCCTTGGGTGTGCAAGTCTGCCCCACACACAAAGAAACACTTGGGGACAGGATTAGTAGGCTTACAGCGGATTCACATATGTCCAGTTCAGGCAATTGGTATTCAAAGCTTTACACTTTCAAATGCCACCAAGAGAGAGCAAAGCCGAGCAGCGCTTTTCTTTGCATTGGCAGCACCTTTATGAGCAGGGCTCTTTCGCTGGGCCAACAATGAGGCTGTGAATACACATTTCTACTGTTCTACGGGGGGGGGGGGGGGGGGGGGGGCTCACTGCAGAGGCATTATTATCCAGCTCTGTAGTGCTGGGTGGGTGGGTGCAGGCAAGGATAGATGGATGGATGGATGGAAAGATGTACAGATGAGTAGATGGAGGGATGTTGAGATGCTGATGAGAGGAAAAGTGCTTCAGCTACTTCCACATGTTATTGTTGGTGACCCGTTCCCCCACTCCACCTCCACAAAACGGATCAGGAGTGGACTCTTCAGGGTGGAGAGTGGCTCTCAGCAGCTCAATAGATAAACATGCTTTGTTCAGTTTGTTCTGAAAACTTTTTATCCCATGAATCTGATCTGATGACAAGAGGAAAAAAGTCAGGGGAAGTAGATTTTAGATGGTAATCAAGCAGCTCAGTGGCCTAGTGGTAGAGTGTCCTGGGAGATCAGGGTACAAAACCCGGTCGGGTCACACCAAAGACTTTAAAAATGGGACCCAACGCCTCCCTGCTTGACACTCAGCTTTAAGGGGTTTGATTGGGGGGTTAAACCAGCTAATAGTTCCCGAGCGCAGCCGCCGCTGCAGCTCACCGCTCCCCTCCATGGGGATGGGTCACTTGCAGAGATGAATTTCACCAGCTGTGTGATGATGACTGTGGGGCTTTAACTTTATTAAAGGGTCAGAAAACTGCAAAGATGTTGCACATTGTTATTTAAACAAGATATTTACTACTACTAATACTACTAGCCTACTACTACCACTACTACTACTAGCCTACTACTACTACTACCACCACTACTAGTACTACCACTAATACTACCACTACCACTACTACTACTACTACAACTACTACTACTACTATTACTACCGGCCTACTACTACTAGCCTACTACTGCTACTACTACTACCACTACTAATACTATTACTACTACTACCACTACTACTACTATCACTGCTAATAGTACTACCACTACTACTACTACTACTACTACTACTACTACTACTACTACTACCACTACTACCGTTTTTCATAGAAGACCTAGAACAAAAAGCCATAGCCACTGCTCCCCCAAACGGCAAAATTAAATTATGGAAACTCTACATAGACGACATACTGGAAATCATACCAAAAGGACAAAAAGAAACACGAACACAACACTTGAATAACATTGACGACACAGGCAAAATTAAAGTTCACATATGAGTC